ATCACTCTTCTGTGTCAAAGGAGATAAGTAATACATCCTTTCTTTTGGCCTCGTGTTTGAGAAATGGATATTAGAAAAGCAAACAATATGAGAACACTCAATATCGGGCGGTAGTCATCAAATTTCAAATAGAGTTAACTCCTAGCGGTCATCCACTGGGCTGAGGGCTATGGTAGAGTTTAATCTCAAAATCTCAAAGCAGAAAATGAAGACACCAGGAGAGCAAATTGGTTAAAAAAAAAAAAAAGAACCCCCAAACACTGTAAACAAAACATTCCATCTCTCCCCTTTCCTTCCCCCATTTTCCCCAAATCTTGGCATGTTTTTTTCATAAAACTCTTAACAGTAGAAAGATGTCAGGTGGAGTTTTCTCTTGCTCTTTCCATGGCAACCGGAAAGCTTCGTGGGAACAGTGTTGTGAAAATGGCAACAACCGTTTATTACCAGAAAGATATTCCATGGCCTGGAAAGATATTCATAAAACCTTGTAGTGAAAAAGTATATGAAATGATAACACGGTCCCATTCTTTTATTTACAACTATATATCAGGCTGGGGAGATGGTCAAGCTGACGAAAGCCTTGTTGTATAAGCGTGAGGATGTCAAGTTGACACCTAGCACCTGCCTAAAGAAGCCAAGCATGGTGATGTGTACTTGTAAGCTCAGAGCTGGAAGGTATGGGCAGGTGGATCCCTAGGGCTCACGGACCAGCCTAGCCTAATGACCTAGCCCGGTGCCCTAGTGAGAGACCCTGACTCAAAAACCAGCATGGATGGGTCCTGAGGAACAGCACCCAAGGCTAACTTCTGGCCTTCACATACATACATGTACATGTATGCCCTTGTGTGTGTGAACACACACGCACACACACACACACGCGCGCGTGCACACACACACACAGGAGTGGGAGACAGAATGAGAATTTCCTTAAAAGTATTTATCTACATGTATTAAAAGGATGACTAGAATACACACCGAAATGTTAGTCATAGTTCCATCTGGGAAATGATAAGGTTTTATATACGGGCAGCTTTAATTTTCTTTTTAAACTAAAGGAAAATTGAATTGAATTTTAAATGCAGATTTTTCAAAAGATTTTAAAAGCTGGCGATGAAAAGTATAGAAGTGAACAAATATGATTTTAAGACTCATTATAAAGCACTTGTATTCATCAGGTCAAATCATGTCCAAAGTGTATCTAATGAATAGAGTCTCTCTCATTAGCACATAAAAGGGCTCATATATTAATGTTAAGCTGAGTTCTACCACCTTTTTTTCCATGTTAAAAGCAAAGCTGGAAGAGACACACAATGTGGATTAAGGACAGAAATACGTGTCAGTGGCTCGGGCTTGAATCTTTTCTGTGCTGGTAATTACCTTTCTCAGAGCAAATCATAATTTTTCATTATCCTCGTTTATTGATTTGGAAAAAGAACAGGGAAAAAATACTGAGTACTTCTTTGCAGAGCTGCTGTGAAAAGTCAGGGATGTCAAGCGCTCTGAAAACACTCTGTACTTTACCAAACCCACCAAGTTACAAAATGTGCTTAAGTAATTTCCCATCTCTGTGCCTGTGCTAGGAACGAGGGAGTCAACTGACTTACCTGAGTGCCTATTCAACATCCCTGCTGCTTCTGGGGTGCAGCAAACATGCACACACACCACATACATACATAATGCATACATGCATATACACATACATGTTGCTGTTGCTTTGCCTGATCATCAGCCATTTCTCCATTCATTCTCTCTTGTCAGGCTTCCTCTATAAGCCTATACAGAAAGTCTTTCACCTCCCCTTGCCCAGATGCCTACGGATCGCAATGCCAAGTAGACCCTCATTCCCAAGGATGTGGGAAAGAGGCAAAGGCACAGAAGGTTTGGGGTGGATCTGTCCCACCAGTAAGGCCTTATGTTCCTGCTTGCTCAAGCCCCTTCCTAAGGATCATTGGAATATCTCTGTTGCCAAGTTACCCCATTACCTTCGGATGGGTTCCTTTCTTCCTTAAGTTGGTCACAGTTGGTTTGTGTTGCTTGTAACCAGAAAAGTAGCTCACCTACGGGCCCTGTCCACGTCATCTCCTTGAGAGGAAAGGAGGACTAAAAACTGTAATATACATACCCTTAATCATATATGCCCTGGAGAACAGAGCCCCTCCCCTTTTCTTATTCATGCCTTCCTGGGACATCATCTCCAGCCATCACAGAACAGTCCTCATTAGAATCTCCTGCCCTCAAACGTAAGGCCGAAGCTTTTGCAGCCTAATGTGGTAGCCACTAACCTCATGCCGCAATGTAAACTTAAGACAAGGACAGTTAATCAAATCAAATTCAGTTTCGCAATCCCAGTTTAACTTAGTAGCCACTGAACTAACATTAGATTGAACCGTGGTGACTAGACTATATCATGGCCCAGAGCCTCACTTTCAATCCTCTCCACTTGCAAGGAAAACTCTTTATTAGTTTGTTGGAATATCCCTGGGTTCTCTAGGGAAATATCCAAATGGGATCCCTTAATGGTCTTCACATTCTAGAAACTATTAGAACCAAAAAGGCCTCTTCTTCCTCTTCCTCGCCCTTTTAAAGAAGAATCTTTTAAAGAACCCCAAGAATGTTTAATACAGGTAGAAGTTCTACAAGACATTTTCTTTGATTTAAACAAGGCCCTTTTGTTTTACCCAGCTGAAGCAAAGATAAACCTGTATAAAATGCAATGTATAGTCAAGAAATGTCCTTTTTTTTTTGAGACAGGGTTTGTGTAACAGCTCTAGTTACTAGCTATCCTGGAACTCACTCTGTAGACCAAATTGTCCTTGAACTCACAGAGACCCACCTGCCTCTGCCTGCCGAGTGCTGGAATTAAAGGCGTGCATCATCACTCTCTGGCAAGAAATGTTCTTAAACTGCAATTAAAGGTTATAGAATCACTAAAAATTTAAGTAAGCTTTTAAAGAAATCAATTATAAAGAAACCAAATGATAAATTCCAGAGGAGAGTTGGGGATACTACTCCATGTTTTGAGGGGGGCTCTAAGGTCCACATTTGCAAAGGAATGTAAAGGCTAACTCAACAGAATCTTGTACAGATAAGGTGATGGAATATAGTCCAAAGCTCTTAGAAGAGTGTCTGAAACTCGGAGCTGATCCAAACTAGAATGGTGAAGAGAATTTAAGTCTTCATAGAGCCCGGTGGGAAGGAGGAAGTCAGGAGGTGCCAGGTAGTGTTAGTTACAGCCCTTTCCATAGCCTAACTTTCCCTAGTCTGCTGAGAAAGGTCCCCTATGACTGTGTTGTTTACTTTCTTTCTTCTTCTCCTTGCCAGCACCATCACCCCCACCCCTCTCTGCCTGGGCATGGCATGAGCCTTCCCTCTGGAACTGCTCTTTTCAAAACAAGCCTGCATCATGAACGCTCTGAGTCCCTCTTAAAGGGAGAAGCTAAGAAATGAAGAGACAGGCACAAGCTTCGTGTGGAAGCTTTAAGTTAGAAAGCCAGGGCTTGGCCCACCTGAACTCTCACATTCTTTTGGTTTCTCTTGCTTTAGGCTTACTGGCATGCTAACCACTGAGAAAAAAATAAGGCGTGCTCAGTAGCGGTTTTTATTTTCCTTCTAGCAAATCTCAAAGGTCTCATAATGATCATCACGTATAGAGAGGAGAGAGCATGAAGAGACCCTGAATATGTTAATTTTACTTTACAAAACTGAAGATGAGCCCGAAAGAATACATAATATAGGTAAGACTCATTAAGCTGTCATTACTTGGAAATATAGTTTCCAGGCAAATAAACACCCAAATCTCACTCTCGCAGCTCCCTCCGAGTAATGCATTCAACTCAAATCTCCCATCCCCACATTCTGTTGACTTCAGAGAATTACGGGTGAGCAAGGAAATGAGAATGAGGTAGGACAATTAGAATTCTGAGAAAGGAAAACATGGCATCATTGATTGGCTTGCTCAAAAAAGAAATAAAGTGACAATCTCTTTGAGTATATTTAATTGCTCAAGAAGGGCAAAATGTTTGGGGGTCAAAGCTTTTTTGTGACTTTAGAAATAACGCAGAATTGGAAAATAAACTTTCACGTCTCTTCCAAAATCGAGGGAAACTCCACCCACAAAATTCACTTCTTTTCTTCGGTTTAGCGTTTTGGATGCCTACAATGCCAAGCTCACCAACTGGTTGGCTCACACCATCTTTGAAAAGTTGCCATAAGCTAAATGGAGTCTTTGATCTATCTAGCGGATTGCCCTTAGTCCTGTGTCTTTGTTTTAAGACAATGTTATGTAATGGGGGTGGGGAATCAATCTCAGAAGAAATGTCAGCCTTGCCTTCCTGAGTGCACGGTTTATGTTGGGTTCATCTTTTCTGACATCCGGTTGAAGACTGAATGACATTTAAGGTTTTAAGCAGTAATGAGATCTTTAAGGGACAATTAGTCATGGAGGTGCTGTCCTCTGGATGGATTAATGTCTCTCTCTGAGGGCAGGGCTAACACCTCAGGGAGCGGAGTGATGTCTCACTCTCTGGGACTGAGGAGTCACTGAGAGGACTAGCTGTTCTGAGTGAGGAAGCCACACTTTGTGTTTTGTCTCTCTTGCACATGCCTGCCCACAATTCTGCTTTTGTCATTTAATGCCACAGGGCAAAGTCTTGACAGATGCAGCTCTCTGGTCCCCACAACTTCCATCTTCCAGAACTGTGAGCTATACCAACTTTGTTCTTTATAAACAGCCCGGTGTTGGGAATTTTGTTAGTGCAATGGAGAAGCGGATCGAGACACTGAGGTAAACTGGCTGGTACTTCATACACCTAGTAAAACCATAGACAACAACAGGCAGATGCCCTTCTAACCCGGGAAAATGCTGGCATCTTAGAGTCTAATATGAGTAAAAAGTAGAGCACCACCTAAGCCACGACTTACCTTCGGCAGATGGAACGAGGCAACGGCTGGGTACGTGTGGGGGTTTCTGAGAGTAGACACTCACCACAGCAAAAGGATATTGGGCCACCAGGGCAGGGCAAAGCTGGGTATTTGGCATAAAAACACAGTGCATCATAACAAAGTCGTTTAAAACCGAGTCTGGAAAGGTGAAAAGAGAGGAGATTACGTTCTTGTGGTCATCTCTAGGCAGCAAGAGGATACACCTGTTCTTAAGGGTTATTCAGGTATGCGTGTCTGTGTGGGAATGCCTTATTCTGAAATTAATGATACAAACAAAGCTTGAGATCAAAATTCAATTTCTTAGGACAGCGAAAAAATATCTACAAAAAAAGTTAGCCTTGTGTGAGCAGCTTTGGTCGCTTTAGCCACAATTAATTTTTTTTTTTTTTCTGTGCTGGGACCTTACAAACACTAAGCAACTCTACCATGAGCTATCACACCAATCTACATGCCTAAATATCTATATCTATATATGTTATTTGCATGTTGAACATATTTGTATGTTATTGTACGGGACAGGAGCTCGAGACTGCATTAACAAACAGCCATTTGTCTATTTTATACCCACTTTGTTGCAATATCTCTCTTCTTTTATCTTTGTTTTTACTTCCCTCCAGAAGGAGCAGGACAGGTGAGAGTAGGCTAGAACCTTGGGGAAATGGAGAGAGTAAAAGCACAGAACTGGGGGGCCGAGGGACTCAGCCAAAACAGACACGATAAGGCCTGTGAGCTGTGCCGGAAATGGCAAAAGCCAGCCCATGGATGAGAGCAGCGACCTGCTCTGTGCCGGGTAAGAAGGGAAAGGTGAGAGAAGGAAGGCTTGTCTCAGGACTGAGTTCTATTTACCGCAGAGCCAGCACGCGTGGTGCTTCTTTAGTGCAAGGATGACATTTTGCAGGCCTTCTCGAAGGGAACGAGTGTTTCAGACAAACCTAAAAGCCCCGGAAGGAACTTTATCGAAACTCAGAACCCAAGGTGCTTTTTTTAATTAAAAGGAAAAAAAAAGGAAATGGAATGGGTGGGGGCGGTGGACTTTACCCATCAAGACTTGTGGAACTTTCTGAGTAGGAAATGGGGGAAATGTGAAATTTTAAGTTAGATTTCCAATCCAATGTCTTTAGCTATAGTATACCGCAGAGCCCGAATCTATGGCTAAGATTTAATCACTGTATGCGTAATCAGTGTAGTATGTTGTAAAGTCAAGCTGCCATTCCCTGGTGTCACTGAGCATTCTACGCTGGCTCCTTACGCTCAGTCTGCGAGGGGGCCTGAGAGAAGCTGTCTTGACCTTAGTTACAGAAGGACACTTCTGCTCTGGCTTTGGGGAATGCTTGCCTTTCGTGACACCCAGAAGGTCTGTGCTCCACAGTCGTTTAAATTCTCTTTATTTGCTTATTTGTTCTTGTGGTGCCCGGGATCAAACCCACACCCCTGAACACACTTGGCAAAGGCTCTAGCAATGAGCTATATTCCCAGCCCTGCAGGACTTTCTGATTCGCCAAGGCAGAGATTGGCCACTGGTTCCTGAAGGCTGAGGAGCTGGTCACATCATGACCAATCTCCCAGCACTCCCCTTCTCCCCCTCACTTTATTTTGTTTGTGATAGGGTCTCTCTACATAGCCCAGGTTGTCCTGGAACTCACTAGGGAGAATCAGGCTGGCTTAGAACTCACAGAGTTCTGCCCCACAAGTGCTGGAATTAAAGGCATACGCCACCACAGCCGGTCTCACGTTTCAATGTGGTCTTTCTCTCTATTCATGGACAACAACTCTTGAAAATTTATTTCAAATAGCCATACCCTAGAAAAGACTGTCCCAGTGATTTGCTGACTGATGCTGGTCACAGAAGTCAAAGGCTCGGACGCTCACAGATCTTAAGTAGGAAGGCACACTGATGGTCTGGTACCTCAGGAGGATGTACTGCCACAGCCAGCCGTGTTCATGTCCTTAGTGCATCCAGGCTCCATGTACTCCCTACACTGTGGATCCACAAGTTCCTTCCCACTCTATCCACAATTCATGGACCTGACCTGGAATTATTTTTCGTGTCTGCAGCAGTAATGGGGATTACTTATAAAAAACATCAGGGAAACTGCAGTGAATGAAGTATTATATTAAACGGGACACTGGCCATGGAGACAGATACGCACAGAGGAAGACCATGTGAGGACTCACTGGCCAGTGTGACACTGGGGTGGTACATCCACATGTAGAGAAATACCAAAGATTGCCAAGGGACACCAAAAGCTACTGAGAGGCATGGAACAGACTCGTCAGAGCCCTCCAAGCCCCCATAATGAAATCAGCCTACTACCACCGCCATCTTGAATCCAGAACTGCAGGGCAATCGGAGGCCATTTTCCCGAGCATTAGAGCAACCAGCAGTAAACCAACACAGCTGGCACTTAGTTACACTCTGGAATAAGACCACCACAGAGAGAACGGGTTATCCTTGGGGTGGGCAGCTTCAAATGTTCTATGACAAACTAACGGACACTTTCAGGGTGTGGGTGGAACTGAATGGCATTTTAACAGATGTCTACAAAAGTCTACGCCTAATGAGCTTGAACAAAACCGCATCACAGCTAGGGATAGGTGAGCTCGGCACCACCCAGGGATGCTCTTAGAGAAGGAATGCACCTGACACCCCTCTAAGACTGCCTCGGCAGCACACACTGACAGAGAATTGGGGTTTTCTTCCTCACAATTCCACACGTGGACTTACTGGACATACAAAACTCTCGTGGGCGCGTACCTGTTGCTTCATTCAAAGACGGCTCGAGGCGTATTGTTTCTAAAAAATGCTCTAAAATTTTTTCAGGCGTTCCTGACATCACAGTGTACCTGGACAAGAAATCAAAGGGCATTAATTTTACACCAGTGAGCATTCACGGCGAGAAACAAATTACTGACGTATAGTTTTGAAAACTGAGATACCATATGACTACTCATGACTAGTATGTTCTCCGTGGTGAGGGAGATTGTGTGCACTGCCCAAGAACACAAGAAGGCAGGGGAAAGACAGTCAACAGAAGCGGTTACACAAAATGTTCTTTCTCCCCCCACATGGAACTAGAGGACCATCTCAGAGAGCAGCCCCCACAGCTGGAGCTGAGGAATGCCAGCCTTATTCCAAGAGAGAATGAAAAGTAGTCTATAACCCCTGGAGCAGGACAGGGCCGGGCAGGGAGGGGAGCTGCTGGGGAAAAATGATGGTGGACTGGGTTATCCAGACATGGGTCACTCCTAGAAGATGTCAGTGTCACACTGGATTTCCTTATCGGTTTCTAGAATGTTCCGTCTTTACCAGCTGCACGCTGCTGTGTGCCTTGGAACTCAGCTAATAGTAAACAAAGCAAAACAAAGTCCCCAAGTGCCAATGAGCAAACAAACCCAGAGAGCGTCAGGCATGGGAAATGAATCAGAAATAGGAAACTACATGTAACTTATTCAATGTCAAATTTGAATTACTTTAGGGGGCTGCATTAGTCATTACTTCAGGGGATCTATTTGGGGCACTCTCCAATCAATGAGAGAAGGTTTACTTTGAAAATTGGATGGGGGTTAAAGTCAGAGTGGAGACAGGGGCGACCAGCAAGTGATAGCTGTAGGGGGGCAGAGGACATGAAGATGATGCAGGTGTCAGTCAGAACTCAGACCTGGCCATCCTGCTTGGCTCAGTGACAGAAAAGGAATATCACAATGTAAAGAACATTCTCTTGTGTTTGGAAAGCAGAGACAGAATGGAGCTCAGGGGAACCCTGCTTCCTTTGCTTCTTTACCAATACGCTTTTCCTGCCCATTTGAGACTGGGGAGAAGGTGTGGGGAGAAGACAAGAGCATCTGCAACATCACTAGGGTCTTACCTCCTGCCCAAGGGATGGAAGAGACACGAGAGAATGTGACCCTGTGCATACGAAACAGAGCGAGTAAAACAGCCCCGGAAACAGAACTCAGGGCCTCGTGTGTACCAGGCAAGCGCTCTGCTACGGAGCCACAGCTCAGACATATGAATATGATTCACAGACGAGCTGCCAGGGGAGGACGACATGACCATGTTAGCCAGGAAATGGAGGGGCAGTGGCAGTGGACAGGGCAGCTACACCTGCCTGGTGTTTACTATGCCCCGACAACTAGGTGGGGTCTGGAATAGGTACCCCTGTTTATTCATGCTAGTTAATACTACCTCTGCTCTGCCGGTGGGGAAACTGGCAAGCCTTAGAGAATGTGATTGTGTGTGACTGTTTGCTCGTTTCTATCCAGCAAGACGCTCTGGTGGAGAGAGGCCTGGCCACCAGGAGCTCACTCCAAGCAGGAAATTCCCCACATCACAAAGAGTCTTGCTCTTTGATGGGACTTCCCTGTTCTGTTTGGAAAGCAATTTGTATTTAAAGAAGAGGTCAACGCATTCTTTAACTGAACACCGAGTGGGTCCAGTCACGTCACTTGTTGTTTGGGGAGCCAGATCCGCTGGTAATGCGTCCTTTGTCAGAACTTTAATTCTGAAGCAGTTTGTGTTTACATAACGGTTCTCCTTGTTTGGACTTCCCTTAGGCAGCGTGCTCTGCCTGCTCACACAGACTAACGACCCGCTGGCAAACCACACAGGCTGCCACCTCAATAGAGAGCAAGTGTCTTCTTTAGGCTCTGCCTGCCTGGCCAGTCACACCCCACTGGATCTTTCTTTGGTAACTGACTCCCTCTAGTGGTACAGCTCTGTGGTTTCTTTACCTAGCCTCTAGCTCCACAGAACTCAGGAGTTTGGACGGGGACTGAAGAGAAAAAGAAGGCGTGGAACTTCTAGATGGCCCCAGTTTGACCTAAAACACCAGATTCTGGCTTTACGTCCCACCACAAAGAGGCAGGTGCCCGCTGCTCAAGTCCTTGTTATGTGGGGTCGTTAGTGCTTGAGACCATAGAGTGCAGCTCCTGTCAGGTTCTGGTAAGGAACCTGCCTCCTTTCAGTCAAAAGCACACCCCAGTCGGCTACCTTAGATCAGCCAGCATGGTGTCCTAAACTTGTGAGAGGAAAATCTTTTCCTAATCCCAAGTCTGCATTTAGAACAAACAAAGCAAGGTGCTGGGGGAGGAGGAACAAGAAAGTGGATCTTCCTGTGACCAAGCTGAGAGCATCGCAAGGGAAACCAGTCTAAAGAAAAAGGCAAGTCCCGGAAAAGGACAGTCATCTCAAGGGCTTGTCTTATTACAGTCTCACAACCCAGCACCCAAGCCATGCCACCAAAGGGCATGTCACAGTGAATCTGTCATCACTGCCACTAACTTGATATCCACATTGATGCCACTCTCAATATCTAGTGGTTTGGGCGGAGTCAGGCAGTTTTGGAAGCTTAACGGGTAGACATCAGCTAAGCTGTATTTCTCAGGGGGAAGAAGGTAAATCAGAAAAATAACGTCATTGCTACCAAGAAGGCGATGTTCTCCGAGTTCAAAACTGTATGTCTCTGCAGACATGGTTGTTGGCATGTTATCGAAGTCATAAATTTTACTTACAGGGACTGTCCTTTTAGCTCTGGTCGGTCTTGGAACGTGACCCCTTGAGAGACTAGCTTTCCATTCTTTGGGGAGCTGACTGTGTGGTGTATTGTTTGGTACTCAGTGAGTGACGTTTCATAAATGGCTTGCTACAAAAATGCAGGGTGCATTATTTTTGAATTATATAAGAAATTTGGACTGGATGACAGGACGCAAATGAAAAATTGATATGATACTAAAATAAATGTAAGACACATGGTGTCTTCTTTGATATAACCTTTAGTTCAGCTTTTCATTCCACTGAAATTATAAATTGGAAGGCACCCTCAATAGAAGACTTATAATAAACACAGGCTTTTGATTCCTCCTTTGTATAGGCAAGAGGTAAACAGAGGCCTCAAGGGCACTTTTTGATCAAATGTTTTAAAGTTAAAGAGAATTTTCCAGATAGCACAATTTCCCTGAGACAGTATTAAAGAAGCAGGCATCTACAAATCATCTAGCTGTAAATAAAAATCTTGGAAGTAGCATAAACCCTCACACACACACACACAAAAATTGTTGTTGTCATCTTCCTCAGTAGGCTACAAAGATAACTATCAAAAGTGGATAATAACAGAGATAAAAGAGCTGGGACCATAGCACAGTGGGAGAGTTCTTATCTAGCACTTATGAGACCCTGGTTCTACACCCGGCACAAAAAGAACAGATAGAGGCAAAGATAATTAATAAGCAATAGAGAAATCTGGAAGGGATGTTTAGAGATTGGTAAGCGAGAGAACAGATTCTGACGCAGTTCTTTCTAAGGGCACCCCCTTTAAATTTGCAGCATTTACCACAGAGTGCTGAAGATTCACCATTTACCTAGTTACCACTCTCTCTGTTGCACTTGGTACTGCATGCACACTGATATCAAAACATGCAGCTGTCCCGGTCCCTCGTACGGAAGAGCATGCATGCACCTTCCCACTTACTTTGATTTGCTCTAGGTTGCTGATAGCACCATATATTCACTGAAGAGATAATGTGATATAAAGAGCTGCCATTCTGGATTGTTTTTAAAGAACAACTGTAGGGGGAAACACGCGGGCATGTTCAGATGACTCTCTGAGTATTTGGGGACCAGTGGAGCCAAGGACCCTACCACTCTGTTTTGCTACTGTAAGCTAGAAAGTGAGAGGAGCAGAAAGCTGGTCAGGCTGCACTTCCCTTTAAGGCAGAGTTCTTGGCCTCCTGTGGGTCCCTTTGGGGTCGAACGACCATTTTACAGTGGTCACATATCAGACGCCCTACAGCTCAGATACTTATATCTTGATTCATAAAAGTAACAAAATCACAGTTACGAAATAGCAGTGAAGACAGCTTTATGGCTGGGGGGGGGGGGGCGGGTCACCGCGACATGAGGGCCTGTATTCAAGGGTCGCAGCGTTAGGAAGGCCGAGGACCACTGCTATAAGGAGTCATATGCGTTCTGAGTCCTCGAGCAAACCACTTGCCAACGAGAGCTGAAATGCCTCCGTCCCTTTCAGAGGGGGTTGTTGTGAGGATTCGACAAAATTTGCAAAACATATTGTGCTTATTTAATAATACGTTTCTTCCCGCCTTCTCAAGTGTGTTGACTTATCCAGATGAAAACATCTGAGTCATAGGCTTTTAGTCGAAACAATAGAAACTCATCAGTTTTGGTGAGCGCTCTGATAAAGGGAGCCCCACTTTCCTTGGCAACAAAGGAAAACGCTCTTTCAACATATTATTTGGTGATGTTTCTTGAGCAAATAAACATTCATTTGCTTTTCTTACATACAGATTGAAAATTAATCCCCACTTAAAAACCCAGAAGCCCTGATTTCCTACAGGCGCATTTCTAAGTCTCCTGTCTCGGCGCTCCATTGTGGGTACATTTCATGACACAGTCTGAGGTAGGGAGCTACAGCAAGAGCTGACGCTGAATCCAGCTGGTCTGGGAATGACTCGCGCTAAACAAGAAGCCCAAGAAATTGCGAAGTGAAATTCCTACTTGGTGCTGGCGAGAACGAGGACCCGGGAAGCCCGTGAGATAGCACATGGTTTCTATTCAGCCTCAGAGCTTCATCCGTGATACTTAGTCGCTCTGATAACCAGGTGAAAGTGCTTTTAGAGAAACCTCCCTCGGATATTCAGATAGCACAGATTCTCATCCCTGGGTGGGGCCTGCGCCCTGAGCTGCCTGGCAATGCCTCCTTGCATTGTTCTCGTAGGGTCTTCTTTCTGAAGCTATTATGGCTGAACAGTGTGGAGGGAGAGGCTTCGGGGAAGGACAATATTCTCTCTGGCATTGCTCTACACAGCACCAAGCTCAATGCAGTGCCAGAAATGGATACATTATATGCCACAAGATGTGTGATTAGTCAATAGAGAGAAAAAAAAGCCATACACTGCCATCTTCCACAAAAAGGGAGAGCACGCTATTGTAGACATGATACCATGTGAAAGGTTAATCATAGTCTGGCAATTACAGTGTTGGATGCAAACATACTTTTGCTGAGGCTGTGAGTTTCCTTGATTAGAAGCTCTGCTCCCCGCTGGGACCTTCTCCAGCACCAAGACATCTTGGTCATGTTCTTTAAGTCTGACTGTATTCGCCTCAACGTCCTGCAAACACAAATTATACCACATACAGATGCTGCCGTTCATTCAGACAATGACAGAAATTTCCAAAGCTTCAGAAACTCATTTGGCGCTTGTGATGTTAATTGTCGCGTCTACAAATTAAGCCATTTTCAAAGTCAAGGGCTGGAATGGTCAGAGGGAGGACCAGATGAGGTTTGAAGCATATGGTCTGAAAAACTGCTTTTTTACCCTAGTCTCAGAAAATCTCCGGAGGGGCCTGGTGTGGTGGTGGGAAATCTCTGGGGAGGGCACGGAGCAGGCTAACTGAGAACCAGAGGCATTTGTTCTTCCTAGAAATATGTGGCAAACAGCACCGAGCTTCAGCAAAGTCCTTTCCTGTGATCCTTAGGAGTGGCTCGTCTATCTACATAAGCAACTGCTTTGTTTTGATTTTGACACATGTGGGATGTGTGTGCATCCATGTTCCTTTGTGTGCACTCCACCTGTGCAGTTGTACACGCAGAAACCAGAGGTCTACACCTCAGCCGCTCTCCACCTATTCTTTGAGACAGAGTTGCTCACCGAACCTGGAGCTCTCTGACTCAACTAGACTGGCTGGCCAGCGAGCCCCAGGGGTCCGCCTGTCTATTTCCCAGCTCCAGGGCTACAGATGCACGCTACTGTGGTTGGCTCTCTAGGTGAGTTCTGGGGATCTGAACTCAAGGCCTCTGGCTTGTGCAGCAAGCCCTTTACAGACTGAGCCATCTTCTGAAGCTCAAGCAACAGTTCTTTCAAAATCAAACTGAAATGCGATCCAAGCCCTTCTCAGTTGTTTTGCATGGCTTTATAAATGATGTCAGGGATAAAAACGCTCCAAATATGACTCTCTCAAATAATTTTTTTGGCAGAGTGTAACCTCATGTGTATAAACGCCAGAGTTAGTCAAGTTCACCTAAACATTAATATACTTTAAAATAGTCACTCTGAAAATTTTACTAGTTTTTCTTAATATTTATTTATTAAACTCACAGCCTCATGGAAGAGATTTTGAGGCTAGCCTGTCAATAATAATATTTTGCCTCCATTTTAAATGACACTAGATAAGGACCAGATTCCTATGATTCCCTATATTATCCAAAGGTATAAATTTTATTATTATTAGTTCATTATTCATTATCATCATCATTATTATCGTTTGTTGTTTTGTTTGTTTTGGTTTTCAAGACAGGGTTTCTCTGTGTCGCACTGACTGTCCTGGAACTTGTTTTGTAGACCAGGCTGACCTCAAACTCACAGAGAGCTGTCTACCTCTACCACCTGAGGGCTGGTAAGATTAAAGGTGTGTGCCACCACCACTGCGCAGATGAATATACTTCATTGGATCACTAGACTAGGCATTAATTTCCATTGACAAGCACTCAGTAAATCGAGATATGAGATAGATATGAGAATGGCTCAGAATTGGGAAGAGTTAGGACATGGACCATAAGAAGACATGGGGCCAAGGGAAGCCGCCACTCTGCTGGACAGTAGGGTAGAAAAGGGCATAAAAAAGGATGAAATCAAGACCAGTGAGAAGCTTCTTATTAGACTTTATATTTTGCTAAGGCAACTGCTATTATTGTCCATTCATATGGATCAGTATAGGCAAATGTAGAAGTATTTGATACAGAAAAATATTAGGCGTCTGCTGCTGGTCTCCAGACTGTACACCAGCACACGGAGCAGGCCCGTGTCACAGCTAAGGCCCTTGGTTCAAGCATCCCTTTGCCGCAGTCCTGTGGGGTGAACAAGCCACTCAAACCCTTTCTTCTTCAAGAAGGGGGAAAACAGGAGATCCTTCTGCCAAGGGTGGGCTCTCAACTCACCCTCAAAATCCGGTTGAAATCTTCCTTGTCGACTCTTAGGAAGTGACAGTTATCTTCTCGGAGAACAATGGAGGCCGCTCGTGGGGCATCGTTCACAAGAGCTAACTTGCCAAAGTCATCTCCCTCATGCAGGGTGCAGACCACACCCTGGGGAGAGCAGGACATTCAGATAAAACGGGTCAGACACCCTCCTTCCTCACCCCCAATCCCCCCAAACACCGTGTATATAAATGGGCTGCATCTAGTATTATATAATTCAATTAAAATGGCTCAATTTTTCTTTCACGGAGTAAATACAGTCAATGAATGGCTGAGTGCAATAATTGAGAAAATTTATGATCAAAGATGAAATTATGTCTTTTCTACAGGTAGTAACAATACCATGGTAAGTTCGATTGCAGCAACGTTTGTTACTACTTAGAGACACACTGGCAAATGGAACACAATTAAGTTTCAAAAAGGAAGACGATATATATAGATATATACCTTGCCATAAATGACTACATTCACCGATCCTTTTAGAATAATGTACCAGGAGGTACCTTCTTCCCCCTGGTTAAACACTAGACACAAAAAGATAAAGAGACTTATGACAAGAATAGAAGCACATCAATATAAATTACAGCTTATCAAATCATCACTTTTAAGTCCCCAGAATTACGCATACATAAAATACAAAAAAAAATTTACTGGCAAATCCTAACTAATTCAGGTGGAATATCATTGTCTTTCTGTGGAACATGAAAGGACAAGAGACGGTACGATTTGCTCTGCCCTGAAAGGCAGGTGTTTACTGGGTATCAATTTACCAACCAGCCATTTCTTAATGGAATGCATGTTTCCCCCACAACTCATAAAGCATTGTGTCGTAGAAAATAGGTTTTAAAAGTGACCTGACCAGTAATGCAAAGTTTGAAAACATGCAAATCGGTGCTGTCGCATGTTGATAAATATATACCTCCACATATGCTTTCAATTGGTTAGATGATAACTAAGATATTCAAAGTAGGAACCCCCGGGGGGAGGAGAGAAGGGCAGACTGAAGGAAGGGGCATGTATACTTCTGTAGAGATGGAGTGTTTGATAAAAAAGGAAATATTTCAATAGTCTGTGTTTTCATCCAAAACATAAATATTTTATAATACAGTGGAAACAATGCGTGGATCTGAACGAAAGAATTAAAAGACAAGCAAAAATTGAATTAGATGAAAAAGAATTAAGAGACAAAAATTAAAAAAAAATGGGAACGTGATTCTGGAAAGGCAGAGAAATCAGTCTCTTGCTGACGGAGGCGACAGAGTTGGAAACAAGACTCCTAATGACCAAAATAACATATTTTAAGATACGATTTTTCAAAACGCATTTTGCGTCTATAATTCACATTTCCTATTTAATTTTAGCGATTGTGATGTAGCTACCAAAGAGCAACACTTTCCTGGAAGTTTGTCTCATTGATGTCGACTAGCAAAGTGTTCTGTGTCACCGGGTTTAGGAAGTGTCCGTTTATACCTAACTGTCATTTTCTCTTTGGCACAGAACCCCGGAGAACCTTCGCCTGCTGATTCACCTCCTGATTCTGCCACCGATTAGACAAGGGGGCATTTCCTGGCCTTAACCCCAGCTGTGGGAGGATTTTGTAGGACTAGCCGAAAGACCAGCTTCGGGAACACCGCTTGTCTCTATTGGTACCAGAGTTTCTTGCCTCCAGGAATGAGCACAGGGCTGGATGACAGCTTAGATCTTAGAGAGATGCCCCACGTGATTGACACGCTGGAAGTATCTGAGGCCAAGAAATTCTCCTGGGCTTGGAGCCCATGGTGCAAAGTGAAGAAGCCCATGAAACACAAGACTTTAACTGTAACAGGAAATTTCATAAGCCAAGCTAGTTCTTTAAAAAGTTAATTTAAACTCTTTGTGACTGGCTTTTATGTAGCCCAGGCTGGTTTCAAACTTGCTATATAGCCAGGGATAACTGTGAACTTCAAACTCTCCTACTTCCATCTTCCAAGTGCTGGGATTATAGGCATGAGCCACCCTTCCAATTCCATCCCCTGATCCCCTGGGGTTTATGCAGGGCTGGGGATAGGGACCAAAGGACTGTTTCACATGTGCTAGGTTCTGCTAACTGAATGATCCCCCAGTCCCAAATTAGTTCTTCCAAATCCACAGCTTGAAATGAAGTCACCAAGGAAGCTACCACCCACAGCCCTGTGAGGAGAGCAGAGACTTCATCCCACCCATTTTGGACACTGTTGAACCAGTGGGTAGACAGCCAGGAGGACCAGACAGGCAAGTGGTACACAGATGGTGCTGGGAAACCACCAAACTTCAGATTAATGGATGCAGCTGGAATAGCCACAGGTCCAGAGAAGGGCGAGTGCCCCGTGCCATCCTTCCAGGATGGGACCAACAGGGAGAGTACCGCATTGACCTGGAATAGCACACGGCGTGGCCAGGCACAGCGCTTCATTAGGGCTCACACTTACGCACAGTTCCTCCTTTGGCGTGAGACTCGAAGATGAGAACCCCTGCTAACTCCCGCTTCACCTAGAAGGGAAAGAAGGGCTGTGGGACGGGGAGGTAAAGGAGAGGGCTCTTGTGTTTTGTGTGGGTGCCCGTCAGCTGTTGTCCCCAGCCAGGCTCACCTCAAGCTGTCTCTCTCACCTTGATTATACAAACTCCTGTCATCCAGAACTACTTTCACTAGACTGGGATCTTTGCTGCTGGGATCTCAAGGTCTGTACTAAAACAATAGAAACTCTTATAACAAATTCCCCTGGGTGGCATTTATTGATCTCGTGGGGTGCCAGCAGGCCACAGTGAACATGCGTGAGAGTTTGCTCTCTCCTTCCACCGTGAGGATTACTGGAATGGAGTTCGAACCTTAGGTCTGTACCTACACCCATGCTGGGTCATTTCTTAGGCTCAGATACTGTGTTTTGTTGTTGGTCTGTGATTTTTTAAATTTATTTATTTATTTATGTTTGTGTGTGTACAGTGTTTGAATGTATGCCCATGTGTCACAGCTTGACTAAGAGAGACTTACTGTGGTAGAAAGATGGGATAAGGCTTTGATATGAAGGAGCTCATCATAGATAATCTCTAGGTCATCCACAGTCCTCTGGCCAGGTCTACAAAGAAAGACAATGACAAAACATGCTGTTATACAAGATTCAAATAAGGAAACGGATCCCGTGGTCAGTAACATGTCCAGGGGTTTGTTCTACATGGGAAGATGCTGACTGAGGGAGACATTGTGCCATAACAACCCCCAAGGTACCAGAAGTGAATGTACTCACCAGTGGGAAGGATATGGGAGGAGCTCTGTGTACCCAGGCTCCTCTCCCTTCCAATCTCAGGGGGACAATCACCCTACATGGTCATTGGTTAACTTGCCTGACACTTCATACATAATTATAAAACTTTGCTTCTTATTACATCCTTCATCAACAATGATAAAACTTGCCTCTAACAAGGGGACACTTGGTTGATGAACTTGACAATAGATTGACATTCCCTGAACTCTGGTGTAGGATCTTAGCCTAACGAAACGGTAACGTTGCTGCTCTTATTGTTCCAGGTTACGCTCAATATTCCTCCCAGAGGACTCCAATACGGAATGATTTCTTACCCAACCCTAAGGAGCCATGTGCATCCGGTGAGAACAAGGCAAATCACAGCGCCTGGGATTTCAAAGAGAGGGAAAGGGAAGTACGCCCATATATCTGAAACTCTGTTCTATGGACTACCATGGCCCACAAAGGGTTAATGATTTGTGTTACTGATTTTTTTTTTAATGCCAAAACTTAGTACTATATAAAGTTAGAAATATACTTCTGATGTGTGGAGTAAGGGGTTATTTTTAGCATAAGAAGTTTGAATAAATTCCTAACCACTCTTTGTCTCTAAAATTATTTTGGAGCCACTAAGGGCATTTGATAATATTAATGATAAGAGATAAGATTAGTCAGTAATTTTTTTTTAATGTTCCTTGCAATATAAGGAAGTCTGACTAACATGTTCTTGAAAGTTGTAGCTAGGTTATTAATCCTGAGAAGGCTGGGAAGTTAGAGAAAAGGCTTGTGTAGTGACACTCATCATCTGTGGGGCTGAATGAGGGTGGCCCCACAGGCTCCTGTATTTGAACTCCTGGTCTCCAGTGGGTAGAACAAGAAGTGTGACTTTGTTGAAAGAGGTGTGTCACTGGGGGTGGGGTTGAGGTTTTAAAAGTCCATGCCATTCCCAGTTAGCTTTCTCTGTCTTGTGGATTTGTTTCAACATGGGAGCTCTCAGCGACTGCTCCACTGCCTGCCTGCCTGCCGCCATGCTCCCCACCATGACGGTCCCGGACTCTAACCCTCTGCAACTGTGAGCTCCAACAGACCTTTTCTTTTATTAATTGTGTTGGTATGGTGTTTTATTGCAGCAATAGAAAAGTAACTGCGACACCATCCCTTTAACCTTCCATGGGAAAACCAGAGATGGTTCCTTCTTGAGAGAGATGTGAGATTTACGCAGAGCCGTGAGTGTTAACGAACCTCCATAGTTATTCGTGTACGTGGAAAACAAAACCCAGCAACATGCTACCCAAACCTCAAACCAAAGTGAAACAAACTTCAGGGAGAGTATGGCTTTAGTCCGGTGATTTAGATCGGGGACTTAAGTCAACTGTGGAGTGTTCCGAACTGCGCTGTAAATACGCTGGAATGGGTAGCTGGATTAAATAAATTTGCAAACACATAATCGCACAAGGTAAGTGTCAGGCCTACTTGGAGACAGCTGGGGAAGAAAACATTAGGACTCACACATGACCTTCATAAGGGCAGCTTTGTCATGAACAAAAGAATTCTACGTCCTTGTTACCCAGACTCAAAGGAAGATGACCTGTTTATTAATCCTAACTGCACAAACACGAAATCCAGGACTTGGGAGATGCCGACCACATTCATTTCCTGCCAAGGATCATCGCTGAAAAACACAATGGCACGCTGGTCTAGCGCTTAGCTGTGTCACCTGGGAAGTGCAGACCCTCAAAAGACACCGAGGAGAAGCTGGGGCCCCAGGGGTGCCAAAGAGACAAGCCCTCTTAGCAAGTGCCCAATCTAGCACTTGACTTACTCATGGGGATTTTGTAAGGAGTACCCTTGGGGATTTAAAAGTCAATTAAGTCAGCCCCATGCATCTGCGGCCATAGAGGCAGCCATGGGGGAAAGCACAGGTAGGTATAATAGGATTACAGCTCTTCAGCCGGAGGAGCAGCGGAGAGGTCCCACTGTTTGGGCTTCTTGACTTCAGCTGCGACAGCACAGTTGTTCCTAGATGTTTGTCTAAAACAGAGGGAAAGACTGGACAGCCTCAGGCTGGAGAAATACTCTTTATCTTAGCAATAAATGGGAAGTAGAGGCATGACCTCTTTGACCCCACACAGCTCTCGTGAAGCAGAGCCTGCTGGGAAGAAACCTAGTAGAGAGGTCCACCTTACTGCTTTCAGGAAAGGCTCTCGTGGGGTACCACTAGAATACAGACACCCGAGTGGTAGCCTGCCCCAGCCCTGGCCATCTATCTTCAGTAACCAACCCATGGGAATAATACCTTCTACAGGGACTGACCAAGTGCTGTGGTGAAATACGTGGGGGGCCCTTTGAAACCAAATTAAACAATGTCTAAACACGGGCTAGCTTTCAAATGAATGGAAAAAGAAAAGGAAAACATTGCAGCAACAACAACAACAACCAAACATTTCCGTGGTCTGAAGTGTTCAATGAGAAGACCAGGCTGACTGCTGCCGTTTGGCAAAAGACGGAGGTTGCCAGGAGTTCTTTGGTCCTGTTTACAGCAAGTGCTGTAATGAGGTAAGAGAAGTCAGGGTTGCAAGACAGGAAGAGACTTACTTCTTAAAAACGAGTCTATTCACAATTCACAAGTGATTTAAAAAAAAAAAAAAAAAAACATTCGTAAGAGATTTGCCCAGAGCCAGGACCCTGTCCCTCTGGGGCCTCAACATGTCATTAGGATTGACAGTTGAGGTTAATGCTAGGGAGAAAGCCAGACGGAGCTAAAATCAGTCTAGTCAACCTGCACCCACCTAAGCAAATCAAAACGTGAATCCCTCTCCTAGCCTGAGTGAATCTCAATGTCGGCCAGCCATAGGAGTAGCCACAACGCATCTGGCTGCTCCCAAGGGCACCAGCTCAAGGCTGCTGTGCCATCTAGTGTCTTTGGGAAGGTTCGTCTCCCCTCTCTTGCTCTCAGATGGAGGTACTCCCATTGATCTGCCCCAAGCCCTCAAAGAGCACCTGAGAACATCTAACACTGAACCTTCCCCACCACAACCTCTGAACAAAGTCATAGTTTTAAAAGCTGGTCTCTCATAGCGAATAGTGGCATTAGGCACCTTTCGTGCTTTGGTCTTTATGGGGGTGACAGGAGGAAATGGAGAAGCGATCCTACAAATTAGTCCCCAGCCTGTTCAAACGGCCATGAAAGGGTCCCAAGGGCTGAAGGCAATTTGGCTTTTAAGAGGAAAAGGAAACGGGATGTGCCGGGGGGGGGGGGGGGGGGGGGCGGATAACTCCCATGGACCTTCAGAAGGGGTACCTACAAGGCCAGGGAAGTGAATTGACTCTCTGGATATTCTGAGTGGCAGCTGGTGAATGTCCCTGGTCTTTACTTGTCCTTCTCTGGATGTCACAGGGAGAGATGTCAGGCATTCCTGCTTCTTTACAAACCTGCGTGGTGCCAGACTGATGTGGATTTGCTGCATCCCGCTGGGGAAAGGCCTAGTTTCTGCAAGGGCTGCATTCTGGCAGTGATGTCTAGTTACAGACAAGATAATAAACAGGGATGGAGGGAGAAGCAGTTTATACATTAAAGGATGGGCGGGCTCAGGTGATATTGGACGCTGCTGGTAAATACCGCTTTATCAAGGAATTTATCAAGGTCAGAGGCAGTTCCTCAGCTGTCGGGATGTGGGTAAAATGAGGGATTCACCCATTTACCCAGAAGCATATAGGCATGGCTGGGGGTTAGGGGAACAGGACAATATGCAGCTGAGAAAGCAAATAAACTGGTTCCAGTAGACCTGCTATCTGGTAGACCCAGTTTGGTGTGGAAAGTCAACAATAGAAATACAAGCACAAGTCATGTTTAAGCTTCTAGTTTCCAACAAGTGCTTTGTTTACCTCTGGAGGGACGTTTGTTTCTGATGGAGGATTTTACCACCATCCACTTGACACTCTACTTGTATACGTCATGTTTTAGCCTCCCATTACTTTCAGGTGCTCTTGAGACTGTGTATAAATCTTACTTCTTCCAAGTGTGGTAGGGGTCTGTGCTCTTGTCTAGAGAAACAGGTTGCTGTTGTTGTTTGTTTGCTTGCTTGCTTTTTCCACCTCCCAATATCCTTCTTCATGCATGTCAGGGGCATTACCTGTGACTAACAGGGAAGTGCCCTGCCCAGCTGCCACCCTCTCAAATTAACCACCAAGAAGTTTGCTAGATGCAAGTAGCTATTTTTCGTTCTAACTGGCAAGCCTATGTAGTCGGGCTTTACATGTCTCTATGAGATTAGAAACCTATATAAACTCTCAGCAAACAGCAAAAACTTTCTGCTTGTAAGAAAGAGTGCCATCCCATAAGACATGGGGTCCTAGTTCCATAGGTCAGAGACTCTACACCCTAAATGCTTTTAGGACAAGGTGTTTGGTTGAGCTCAGGAATAGAATATGCCTAATAGTCTTCCAGAAAATGTCTTACAAGAACACTCTACTATTTAAAAAACGAAAGAATTGTTTGTTTTTATCTTCTATGTATGGGTGAATTCTTACATGTGTGTATGAGCACCATGTTCCTACCTAGTACCCAGAGCCCAAGAAACCCAGAAGAGGTTGTCAGAACCTCTGGAACTGGGATTACAGGCAGTTGTGAGTCACCATGAAGGAATAAGAACTAAACTACAGTCCTCTATAAGAGCACTTAAGTTCCCGTAGCCACTGAGTCATCTCTACAGCTCCTAACATTAAACTTTGTAATAAGTACAACTACTGGTATTTTCCTTTGAAATACCCAAGTATTAAGTGAAGGAGGACACACCAAAATTAGGAAGGATTCAGATGGAAAGCTCACACTTTGC